TTATTTTTTTTATATTTAAAAATTGCGTAAAAATACTATAAATCATGATAATTGACAACATAAAATATTTCAAAAATGTTGTATGTGAGTAGTCTTATTATGCCTTAAATAGCGTCAAAGAAAGTATATGTTTGTGATAAAAAAACTTATTCATTTATCCACGCAAACAATCACTTCAAAAACTCGGTTATTAGCCCCAAAATATACCATTTATATTATTGGGCCCGTGCATAGCACGGGCAACATTATCTAGTCTAAATAGAAGAAGAAGATACTAAGTACTTGATACTTTTATTCGATTACACTTTTATTAATTCAGTACAAATGATGAATATTGCAAACTTCCATTACAATTATCATAATCTTATTTGAATAATGTTGTAGAGTAGTTATTTGACTACTAGTTATTAGCACACAACTCCTTTTCCATCCATACCACTTGAACACTTGAAGTCATCAAACTCTTGTTTATTAGTACTGGAAAATCTTGAAACAGCACAATCAGTGGAGAAAATACTTGAGGATGCAAATTCTTTATCCCCACCCAAAACAGGCATTTCAATTCCCATTTTCACTCTGCTCACATAATTACTCCCATAAGTCTGTCCCAATACTCCATTTACCTTCTCACTCAATGAGTAAAACTTGAACCCCAAATCCAAATGAGCAAAACAATCGTCCTCAGTAATACCATAGTTATGAATCCTCGATTCCTTTTCAGTTATTGGTACCACTCTAGCTTTTATCTGAAAATTACCTTCAACTTCAATCACAACAGAGTTAGTATCGCGATTTCTTGTGATTGTAGTGTTTGAATTTGGTTCTAAGTACTTGACCCCTTCGCGATTAGGAAGGGTGATTGATTGTCCATCGAAGGCTAAGTCTAGACGATCCAATGCATCGTTCCATGTTGATGTTTTTTTGGCACTGATGAACAATTTATGATTGTTATAGAGAATTCCAAGAGATTGTACCCAAGTGAAATCTCTCTTCATGTTTTCGTTCCTCCTACCAATGAAATGACCGTTGATGTGGAGATTTGAATCGGTAACTAGGCAAAAATCATCGTCTTTTTTGCCATGGAAGTAGAATGTGAGTCCATCAGCTCCTACGAATCTTGGATCTTGACAAACTGCCCCTGGCCTATTGCAGTCTGCACATCACGACAACGTCAAAATGTCAAGTTTAATTTAACACAAAATGTCAGGGTTGTTGATTTTTCATATGGTCACTCAACTAATACTGTATCTCAGAAAGTGATTCAAATTTTCTTCAACAAAGAAAGTGACTTTCTGAGATAATATCTATTAAGTGATCATATGGGAAATCAACTCTCATAGTACGTCATCTATAACATCTAATTAATCGCTTAAAATTGTTCATAATGATAAATGCACCATCTTCAGGGATAATATATTAAACCTGATTATATATCATGTATAGTATAGCTTATAGATTTAGGAATCATACCACAAACAGGGCTGCAAGTGACACAATCAACTTCACAAGTATCAGGACATGCACTTGGGCATTTATACTCCTGGCGGTAGCATTGAGGGTACAACTTATTCTTACAAGAGACACTTTTTCCTCCTGCAGCTTGATCTGGTGGCGGTGGTGAGTTAGGAGTAGAAGGAGGCGATAATGGTAAACAGACAGGTTGACATGAGTCACAGTCAGCTATACATGAACGCAGACAATTAGCAGGGCATGCAAAGGTCTTGTGATAACATTTTGGGAATTTTTTGTCTTGGCATTTCACTTTCATAGGTGAACGAGGTTTTGGTGGTGGAAGTGGTGGAGGAACACAAATAGGTTGGCATGAGTCACAATCAACTATACATGTACGCGGACAATTGACAGGACAGAAAAGGTCTTTGTGATAACATTTTGGGAAGTTCTTTTCTTGGCATTTCACTTTCTTAGGTGAACGAGGTTCTGGTGGTGGAAGTTGAGGAACACAAATAGGTTGACATGAGTCACAATCAGCTATACATGTGTGAGGGCAACTGACAGGACAGAAAAGATCTTTGTGATAACAACTCGGGAATTTCTTGTCTTGGCATTTCACTTTCATAGGTTTAGGAGGTCCGCCCTCAGCCAAAACCACAAGGAGGAGGAGGAGGAGGACGGTGGCGAGAAGCCCAAAACTTTGTTGAGCCATTGAACTAAGAAAATCAATAATAGGAAGTTGTTCTCAAGGGTGTAATACTTGGAATGTATGTATATGGTCTCCTTTTATAGGTGTTAGGTTTAGAAACTTAAGAGTGAAATTACCTAATTATAAGACAATTTCATACTTTTTATGAACACAAGATTAAAGAACATTTTGGTACGTTCTACATCTATTTAATTTAAGACTGCAAGATAGAAAGTCTTCTTTACTTTCTGAAACTCTGTGCCAAATTAAAAATGGTTAAATGGAGGAGTTATATATGTTTTTGGGCCCCTTGAATCTAGCATGCATGCATGGCTACTTGGTTGTTATAACATGCCTTGTTCCTTAATGCATGGCTTCTCTTTGGGTTTCAGCAATCCAAAAGTCAAGCAAAAATATGTTCAGTATGATGTTGTCAGTTTAAGGTCGTGTTTGGCCTCAACTTCTGCATTTGGTTTTGGCCTGACGATTTTGAAAATTAAATTTGGAGATAAGTTGTGTTTTTGGATTGAATTTTTAAAACGATATTTAATTTGGAGAATGAAAACTTGTTGTTGATTGAGTTGGTTTACGGAAATAATTTTGATTTGGTCAAGCTTCTAAAAGGTTAAATGTGCTTATAATTTGTTTTAAAACACTTATTTAATAGAGTGAAAATGTTTGGTCCAGCTTGTGATAAAGAAATAAGTCCTTTTGAATAATAGCAGAACTAATTTTACGGAGTATCTTTTAAGGGTTCTGTTTGGGCTTTTTAAAACAAAAGATACCCATATACATATTCATATTTACCAAATTATTAATAGCAACTTCCTTTTTTGTAATTTGACTTATAAAAATATTTTTTGAGGATATCATCCAAAAACAAATTAATTGAACAAACCCACTTATGAAAACACAATTGCTACTTTCTCAAAACACCTTCAATAACAAATAGTACTTCTCAAAATAAGTTAATTTTGACTGACCAAACAGGCTATAAATTTTGTTTTGAATAAATTAATGACAATGTTTTCTCTAAACTAAACTAGCACAGCTAGAATCGTGGAGAACCTGATTGGATCACCATCTTAATAGTTTATCATACTAATTACCAGACTTATTAGTTGACATGACACAAAAAAACATGTTAGAAATCCCAAAAGTTTCATAAGAAAATTTATAGATTGATCGAGAAGTATGATCTTGTTTATTAAACTTACTTCTATTGGGAGGTCCTTATATATACTTGGTGAAATTGCAAGTATAAGGGTCCAACTTACAAACGGAGCCAAGTACAAAGGTCTCCCGGTCATTTCGTCATTTTTTATAGTAATGACAACTCATTGCTCCTATATTATGCTTTTGAATAACAAATTCAAGTATGAATATGAAGTCGATCATTGCTTTGTATAGAAGGTTTGTTAAGCCATTCAAAATATATGATATGTTATTAAATTAAGAACTAGTGGTTTGCTTACTTTTGGTTTTAATATTGCATTTGAACTTGTCAACATCTAAATAAATTTGTACGAAACTAAGCTGTCTGTTTTACTAAAGAAAGCAAAGGTGTGTTTGACTGTTTCTCCTCATTCTCTTCTTTTTCTAGGGAAGTATTTATTTGGGAAATAAATTAAAGTGTCGGCAAACCTATACTCTTTTAATTTCTAACATCCATTATCCATATATGGAAAAATATATTTTTATGTCATATTAGATTGAGAAGTAGCCCTCTAACAAAGGTTTACTTATCTAAAATAAAGTACAAAGCAAATAGAGTGAAATAAGTGTAAATGTAGGATCCTTTATCCTCCAAAATTACACTCAAATAGCAGGTAGACCTTTTACTTCAAAGCAATGGTTGGAGGATTTTTTCTTAAAAGAATATATATATATATATATATATATACTAGTTTTTCGACACGTGTGTTACACGTGAGTAGCAATTTAGAAAATATATGTTATAGTAAATAGTATTGCTTATTTAAGCGAATATTTGACTAATAAACTTTGCACAAAATAAATATTGCAGATTCTTTTGTAAATGTTCAATGTGGATCGTCATATATATCTCTTATTCACGCGAACATATGAAGATGGTCAATCAAAAAATTTATTAGTCAAATGCAATAATGCATATATTTATTTTAATTTGATGAGGTTCAATCATGTAATTAGTTGTATTTCTGTAATATTACCTTATAGATAATATTTGTTGTGTATTTTTCTTGTCATCTAACCAAATGTGTTTTACACATGTATTTCACGTTAAACCGTTTAGATGTCATATGAACATGTGAAGAAAACAACTACATTTTATTTTTTAGAACTATTTTTGTATATTAATTTTTATTTTATAAGTTATAACATAATAGATGATGTTCTTGTTGTTGGCTCTCATATTTGACTTCTCGATTGACTGTGTATATAAATCAAAGATAGTTATCTGACTGTCCATAGTTAACTGAGAGGTTTCCTTTTTTTTTTTGGAAAAAACTAAAAATTAAAATTAAAGAGTATATTTTATCTGTGAG